CTTATCCGGCAAGATTCGGCTGATGCACGTTTTTGTCCAGTCCCAATGAGACAAAACGGCCGCCTTACGCTTTCCTGGATGTGCAGTGGCTATCTGTCTGTGTATAACTGTGACGTAGCTGTACAAATAACTGTCATGTTTTTACGCGGACGCACAAGTCTTTATCAGTGAGTTGGCCGATCTCCGAAATTGTCAGGCTTCATGTCCTCGAAAGTAGATAATGATACCCAGAAATTGGCTGAGCTGCGAGTTTACCGACTTTGAAATCGCGCTAGCCAGGATGTTAATCCCTCGCAACGACAGAATGAGTGTATAGGTGAAAGTGATCATTTAATACGAAAAACCGCATTTTCGTGTAAATTCGACAATGGCTAAATGCGTTTCACTGACCTCCCTTCGTGCAAGTTATGGACATCCGCCTTATTTTCGTAGTTTACGAATCGACCAAATGCACTTCGGAAATAAACCACAGACTAATATCGTAGTGCGAATATACCACATCCGCATTACGGAAGATTTTAGCACCCATGATTTGGAACCTCTGGTAACCGATGGAGAACAGCTCCATCTCCACCTTCAAGAGATAGTCAATAGTGCAATTTTACACAAGCAGGTCACTGATTCCATCCAGTACAGCACGGCGAATAATATATTTATGTTAAACCTAGTTCTCACCAGCTAACAGCTCATGGTTGATGGAATATATATATGCAGACCTTTGGGTCGAAACTACTAGGCGAACTCACTGTTAATTTACGTTTGTTTCGCTGAATATCCCGACGCGGTCTTTTACGCATTAACACGTTTTGTGCGCATTCTTAAAGTATGCTAGTTGGACATGACTGGGTAAAATCCAGGACTAACCTGGAAAATATTATTAAAAACCTTCACGTCAATTGTCTCAAATCCGCATAACCAATCTTATTTCTGAGAATCCCAAAACATGGCACGTTCACAAAAGCAATCGCAGAGCAAACAGTTGGGCAGGATAATTGGCTTAATCCAAATACTCTGTGCAGGTACCTCGTGATAAAGGTTGAAAAGTCAACAGAAGTTGGAGAAACTTAACATTCTAATCACAAGCTTCTATAATAACATGTCAACTGATTTTGTAATATGCAGCGCTGGATCCCACCACTCACTACGTTTAGGAGGTAAACACATGCCGCGAATGAGGCGCCCAAAGTCATGTGAGCCTAATACCCACCTACTTTCCAAGGGATAAAATTTTAGAACGCTGTTTCTGCTTTTATCACTTCATTGTGGGTTTTAATCGGCATCACATTCATTGAACAACTGATGCTTGAATACCTGCTATACTGGGGCGGATAAGATTCACCACAAAACACTGGAGAAATCAGCCATGCATTTTGCCAAATCACCAGCTGGATTTTATCAGGTTTTCCAACCAAATTCGATTGGAATGCGATCTGCATCAAAATTCATTACTTGAGCCTCCCAGTATTTAATTTGCATCAACGATCCAGTGAAGATTAGCACCTCAAAATTTTTACTGTTTGCGGACGATCGAGCGTCTGGACGACCTCGGAGTTCACCATCCGGACCTCGATGAAGACTGAAAACCCTCGCCACCATCTAATGTGACCAGTGAAACGTTTCCACACCCACCATGGACATTACTACCTACAGTTTTGTTGTGCACGATCAGAAGGCAACCACTCGGGAACCATACCTTGATGAGCTAACGCAAGACGAGCTCGGCCGTTTCAGGTGGTTAGAGCCCTTGACAAAAAGAGGCAACTACTATCTTGTTCTCTTGCGGAGGATACTCCGTAGTTTGGATTCATCCAACATTTCTCTGGTGCGCAATGCCTAAACGCGTCAACACGTAGTATATGCTATCCGGGCCTATCAAACTGGGCTAAGTCTAACCTTGCGGCTCCTGTGACCCTACAACCTTGAGCAACGCAAAACGTTAACGATTCGCGACACCTTCCGTACCAGTAACCATTGAAAGCGCTCAGTGTTCAGTGGACGACCATTGCTGCTACACGGGGACCACATCACGATATACCAAAAGCAGCGAACCTTCAGTCACATACGTCGCCAACTTTTGAAAATCAGTGCGAACACCAACATGATGGGAAACCGTTTGAAACGGAGACAAAAATAAAGTCGTCTAGATTGTCTACGAAATTGCTCCTCTCTATGGGTCTGCAAAAACGTGGAACCATGTACTAAACTCGGTTGATTTGCCGACATCTCAGGCATTTTCAAGAAATCGCTTGCATATTGCACTATGCTCCTGCACTTCATTTTCTGAACCGATATGCTGAAATACGTTAACAGAATAACTAGCATCATGGCATTATAGTCCATTGCAAAGCAGGTAATTTTGTGCACATAGTTGAACATACCAAATGGTATTTGCAAATAAACATAACAACATGTTATTCCGATGTACAGGGATCTGTCTCACTGCCAAAGCCACACTGTTATGCAATTGCTCAATGGCTTCATCGCTCCGCATTTTTAATAATAAACAAGAAACAATGATTTATGTTGGGTAAGAATGCCTTTGCCGGACAAATTCCGCAAGAAGTTGTGAGTAAAAGTACAATTATCCAATGACATGTGATTTGTCTGTTTAAGCGTGTATCTGCTAGATACGCTGCTGAATAATAGTAGAGTAAGTAGGAATTAGATGCAAACGACGAGGCAACATGTGGACAGTTATACTTGTTGTATTCCGAGAGAAAGTTCAAAACGAGAATACTCAGTTCTGTACCGCCTCCCCAGTTTATTTCATATGTTACCGTTTTAGAGGGATAATTAATATATACCAAAGTAGCACAGTTAAGGCAACTAAGTGATGGGGGCCAAAAGCAAGAACTAATCCCTTTCTGAAAATCTCCAATGTGTGGGAGGAAACAACAAGAGTTACTGGGTTAGCAAACCCGAAGCGAAACATAATTCCGACGGCATTCCAGGCGGTTATACTGTGCACACAATTTCAGTGGGTTACCTCTGAGATCGGTGTTATGACTGTTTTAGCAATT